TTTGGACGAGACTTTGAAGCCAGAGCCGGTGGATCGCGAGGTTCTAGGTTCTGCGGAATGTTCGTCCGATCTCGGCGTCGCGAACGGCCGCCGAAGGCCCTGCGGAACTGCGTGGGGCTTTCGTGTTGAATTCGTACAGCAATGTGATGTCCAGTCCTCCTTCCTCCCGCCTCCCGCCTCCCCTCCCCTTCTACATGCCTGCTACCCTGCCTCCTGTTTCGAAGGCTGTTGGGGGGTCCAGCGGAGTGACGTCTTACCGCAGACTCCAATTAGACTTCGCCGTCCCTGGGGGCGGCGTTCTGCGAAACTGTCGCCCATTTTGGGGGCTGCGGGATAATCCCAGCGAGGTGACGTCCTACGCGGACTCAGACTCAGACTAGACCTCGCCGTCCCTGGGGGGCTGCGAACTGCGCCAGTGCCGCCAGTTTCGACGGCTGCTGGTGGGTGCAAGGGAGGGGCGTCTTATCCAGGTCTGATGGGGCGTCGCTGCCCCTGGGGAGCTCCGATCTGCCAAACTGTCGCCATGATCAAAGGCTACTGGCGGTCTAGCGGAATTGCGTCTCATTCGGATCAGACGGAGACCTCGCCGTCCCTGGGGGGCTGCGAACTGCGAAATTGCTGCCATGTTCGAGGGCTGCTAGGGGGCCCAAAGGAGCGAAGTCAAATCCAGATCACACGAGACACCGCAATCGCTGAAAGCTGCGATCTGCGAAGATGTCTCCATTTTCGACGGCAGCTGGCGGTCCAGCGGAAATGCCTCAATCAGACGAGACCTCGCCGTTGTTTGGGGGTGGTATGTTCGAAGGCTGCTGGGGGGTCCAGCGGAGCGACGTCTTATTGATCTGGTGAGACCTCACCGTGTTTGGGGTCTGCGAGTTGCGAAATTGTCGCCACTCTCGAAGGCTTCACGGGGATGCAAAAGAACGACGTTCGGAGGCTGGGGGGTGAGACCGCAGTGAGACCGAGACCCCCCACCGGGAGATGGGTTTCGGTTTCGTGTTCATGTCGTGCGTGCGGGCGAGACGCAGCTGCGCGTGATCCTCCTGTAGCTAGGCCGAAGTAGGAGCGAAAGTCCGCTGCCCGTCCGCCAGTGGCCGAGAATTGTCCCAGATGGGCCGGGCGGTGTCCCAGGTGTCCCGGGTGTCAGTAGGAGCGAAAGTCCGTTTCCCGTCCGCCGGTGGCCGGGAGGTGTCCCAATTGGGCCGGGCGGGGTCCCGGGTGTCCCGGGTGTCCTGGGCGTCCCGGCGCTAGAGCATGTCGCCAATTTCAAAATTCATTTTTTTTGTCGGCGCCTGCGGCGGGCTTTCTTATCCAATCCAGCTTAACTTATCCAATCCATCTTGTCCAATCCAATCCATATTATCTTCTCCAACCCATCTTGTCCCACCTTATCTGATCCCACGCAATCCAATCCACCCAACCCAATCCATAAGTTCATGTGTTTCTGCGGCTGCGGCGGGCCAATCCAACCCATCTTATCTTATCCAATCCATTTCTTCCAATCCAACCCATCTTATCTTATCCAATGTCCAATGGCCTGTGCTGGAGTATCCATTGTCCTGATGGTTGTTTGGTGGTTGTGCCGATGGTGTTCCTGTGGATGTCCGGCAACAAGTCGTTTTTCAGCGCCTGCGGCGGGCCTTTCCATGTTGCTTTTGAAGTCGATCGTGAGATCGACAGTGAGATTCACCGACACGTCGATCGACGGATAGGTGGATAGTGGGATCTCATCGTCATCGCGATCATCATTGTGGTGGAGGGAAACTCTGATAGAGAGGGAGACAGAAAGAGAGAGATGATATCGTGGTGGCAGGCTGGAGGTCACTCAGTGGGCATTTGATCTCAATCCCCCCAACCTCCTTATCGCCAGCAAGGCGGTCGTATAGGTATATTCAAATCAGACTCGACCTCACCGTCCCTGGGGAACTGCGAATTGCGCCAGCGCCGCCAGTTTCGAGGGTTGCTGGAGGGTGCAAAGGAGGGGCGTCTTATCCAGATATGATGGGACGTCGCCGTCGCTGGGGAATGCGATCTGCCAGACCGCCGCCACTTTCGAGGGTTGTTCGGGGGTTCAGCGGGGTGACGTTTTATTCCAATCAGACTAGAATTCGCCGTGTTGGGATATCCGAAATGCGAAGCTGTCGTTACTTTCGAAGGCTGCCCGGGGGTACTGCGGAGCGACGTCTTAGTCGGATCAGCCGAGACCCCTCCGTCTCTGCAGCTGCGGTCGGCGAAACTGTCGCCACTTTCGAGGGCTGCCTGGGGGCACCAGCGGAGCGACGTCTTGTTCAGATCACTTGGGACCTCGCCGTCATGGGGGTTGCAATCTGCCAAACTGCCGCCAGTGCCCACTGTTGCTGGGGAGGCCCAAACTGTCGCCATTGCGGAGCGCTGTCGTGTTCAAATCAAATGGGACCTCGCCGTCGCGAGGGGGGGGTGCGAATTGCGCCAGCGCCGTCAGTTTCGACGGTTGCCCGAAGGTCCAACGGAACTACGTTTTATTCACATCATATCACGCGTCGATGTCCCTCGGGGGCTGCGATCTGCGAAAATGCTGCCGCTTTCGAGGGCTGCCCAGGGGTGCAGTGATGCGACGTCTTAATCAAGTCAAAAAAAACCTCGCCGTCGCTGGGGTTGGGGGCTGCGGCATTGTCCCCCTTTTCGAAGGCAGCTGGGGGGGGGGGGGTTCAACGGAATGGCGCCTACTCAGATCAGGTGAGATCCCACTGTCGCTGGGGGCTGCGGTGTCCGAAACTGTGGCCACATTCGCGGGCTGCACAGGGAGCGCAAACCAAACGACATCTAATTCATAGCGGACGAGACGTCGCCGGCCCCGGGGGCTGCGAACTGCGCCAGCGCCGCCATTTTCGCAAGCTTCTGGGGATTCCAGCGGATTGGTGTCTTATTCCGACCAGGTGAGAATTCGGCGTAACTGGGGCCTGCGAACAGCGAGATTGTCAACATTTTCGAAAGCTGTTGGGGGGTCCCGCGGGGTGGTGTCTGTCAATAGCACGTGAGATATCACTGTCGCTGAGGGCTGCGACCTGCGAGACTGTGCGACGTCTCGTTCAGCTCAAACGGGACATCGCCGTCGCAGGCAACTGCGAAGTGCGCCAATGTCGCCGCCGTCGTGGGTTGCTTGGGGGTCCAGCGAGTGACGTCCGACTTAGACCAGATCAGACCTCACCGTCTGTGGACGATGCGAAGTGCGTTCGGAACTGTTGTCAAATTTGGTTGCTGAAGGTTGCAGCGGAGGGACGTTTCATTCAGATCAGATGAGACCTCGCCGTCGCTGGGGGCTGCGAGCTGCGAAACTCTCAGCACGTTCGAAGGGAATGGTTTTTTATTCAGATCAGATGACACCTCGTCGTCGCTGGGGTTTGCGAGCGGCGAAACCGTCGAAACTTTCGGGGGTTGCCGGGGGGTCCAGCGGAGTGACGTCTTATTCAGATCAGGTGAGACTTTGCCGTTGCTGGGATATGCGGTTTTCTTTCTCGTTTAGCGGCGGTCTTCGAATCCGTTCGGCTTCCGCGTGCATAAGGTAACGCGCGCCGGCCTGGTCATGTCCTACGCCGAGGTCCTCACGCCCACGGCCTGCCAGGGCCAGACCATGCACCAAGGATTCATCACCGACGGACGCAGAGGATCTGGACGCCCTCTGGCTGCATCTCTACGTGATGCTCTCCCGTCGTGGACAACCTGCTGATGATACGCAAACCCAGCCTTGATGTCCTTTCCCGCGGGCCACCCGCAGACATGGCGGCACGCCTGTGGGCGTTTAACTCCCGCGCTGAAGCGGGCAGGAAAGAAGCGGAGAAGCTGGTGGGCGAGCTAGGCGTCGAACGCCTTGTGCACTGGCTATGAACAGCTGTTCCCCTGGACCGGCAGAGCAACATGGCGCGGGCCGCGCTGCTTGTCCATCGTTCCATTGCCAAATAACCGCCGCCCTTCTTCCTCAACCTGCCACTTTCGGTGTCGCCCTCTTCCTCCTTCAACAATATCATTGCTGTTGCCGTGCGGACTTTTCGGCCCCCCATCGCATCCTTCTCCTGCCCCTCCTTCCCACAAGCACTTCCTCTTTGAGTCTGGGGCCTCACTGTGAGTCATGCATCGCGCGAACATCCCGTTTAGCTTGCGCAGCAAATAGCGTTTCTGAAATTGCCAACCATCCATAACAATGTGGGCCCCTTGATCTGGTAACTTGATGCAAATGCCTCGAGTACGTGACAAGGGTACGGTCGGGGTCCTGTTCTTAGCGTGTACGTAATTTCGGGCCTTGCGAGACCGAAGGCGTTGACACGCTAAGCGACGCAGGGGGGGACACGCTAAGTAGGGTCGGGTGGAACAGCCTTCCGAGTTACACGCTAAGTGTCTGGGGGGCCCTCTTGAAAGGCCCTCCTGGGTTCTCTTGGAGCGCTGTTGTGGTCCCATTGACGCCCCTTTTGGGTTAGCCGGGCTCTGCCTGGGCGTTCTCGGGGCCCGCATTGGGGCCCTGTTGGAACGCCCCTTGAGCTTTCATGGGGTCCCTCCCTCGGTGCTCCCCGTTCCTATTGTCAGGGGAATGGAATTGAAATGGCAGTAGTGGAGCGCTTTCCCCCCCCTTAGCGTGTACCTGGAATGCCCCCTCTCGTCCCTCTCCCTCCTTCCCTCTCCACCCCTGTTTCCTTTTCCCTTCCACTTTTTTTTAGACTTCCCTGGGTGCTCTTGGGTGTACTTGTTGGGTACTCATTGGGGCCCATTTTGTGTTCGCAGGGCCTTTCCCAGGCGTTCTCGGGGCCCCCTTGGGGCCCTGTTGGGGCCCCTCTTGAACGCTTTCCCCCCACTTAGCGTGTACCTGGAATGCCCCCCCCTTCCTCCCTCTCTCCCCTCCACTCTCCACCCCTTGTGCCTTTTCCCTTCCGCTTCTTTTCTAGACTTCTCTGCGTACTCTTGGAGATATGTTTGGGGTCCTCTTGAGGCGCCGTTGTGGGCCATTGAGGCCCCTTTTCGGTTCGCCGGGCCCTTCCTGGGCGTTCTCGGGGCCCTCTTGGGGCGGCCTCGCGGCCGCGCCGGCGGCGGTACCGCTGCCCGAGCCGGCGCGCGAGCTGCAGGCGGAGGGCGCCCTGCCGGCGGCGGCGCCGCCCCTGCGCGAGGCGCGCGGGCTGCGGCCAGACCTCGAGGGCGGGGCCTCAGACTGGAGCGACGGTCGGCTACACTTAAGCGTGACCCCGGGTAAGAGTGACCTTTGGTGCGCGGCTTTTTGGGGGGCCACTGGGGGGCCAAACACAAGCGCGCAAGACGCTACTATCGCATCACGTTCGGCGGTCGGGACCCCGTGGGGCCGGCACCAAAAGTCACTCCGACGAAAGGTCACTCTTGCGTCTGGTCGAGGCGGGGGCAACGCCCTCAGTGGGCGGCGCGCACAACGGGGTAGGGGGAGGGGGGAGGCTTCTTAGAAGGAGGCTGCTTCTTATAAGGCACCGGCCCTAGACCTACAGACAAGGCCCGCGCCTTCTGAGAAGCAGGGGTGCTTCTATAAAGAGAGTGTTTCGAAAGAGCCTTCCCCCTTCCCGCTTTCCCTAGCCCGTCTGCCGGTGGCTGACTCAGGAGAAGGGTGAGCCAGCGATCTGCTTGACAAAAATATTGCCTTCGACTTCAGCTGCAACTGTCATGATATGGTCATTCTACCTTCGGTGGGCGGTTGGAGGTGCAATAGTTAGCTCGCGCGGACTACTGCGCGCACCCTTCCGGGGGGGCACGAACTACGGCAAGTTTTGTAAAAAAGATTTCGTGCGGAAGAATGCACGGTTGCATCGACACGCAACTATGCATGAGGTCCAGACCGCAAGTGATCGCATCCATGCAAAAAATACTGCACATACTATTGCACCTACTCTGGCCCCCCATCTGCGCTATCCCACTATTACTCCTCTGGTTTGGATGGGCGCTGCCACTTGAACAAAAAGAAGAAGCGGGTTGAAAGCCTTACGCCGCGGGTTACACGGGCGCGCGGCACGCCACATTAGAAACGAGATCGCCTGCGCGCGACCTTACGCCGGCAGCTTACACGCGACTGTCGGCGCAATCGACTAGTTTTTTTTGCGTCGCTCACCTGTTGCACACCATATTGAAGATGGACTCACGAGCGGCGAACATGTCCGTATCCGCGCCCTCGCTGTCTGGACTCAGGCGCGCGATCCCGTGGATGCGCGGTCGCACGGAAACGTTCCGCGCGGGGCATCCGCGAAATAAAGCCCTGTATCAGCTTGATCGCGGCTCAGTAACCCGGCCCGCGAGGCCGCGGCTACAGACGTCTTTTTTGCCCACGGTGGACGCCCCCCGTCATGCATCCCTGAGTTTGGCTTCCACTTTTCGGTCGATCCAGAAGCCCCGCAAATCGGGGATTGTGGCCGTCATGCCCTCCGTTCGTCGGCGAATCTCCGGCTTCTGTAGAGGCGCTGGGCGGCGAGAGGCAGAGGGAGAGGCAGTGGCCCCCGGGGGGAACCAACCTTCAGATCTGGGCGCTGCAACTTGTGCACCCCAAGCGTTTCCGCCCAGTTCGAGGCCCAGGACCATCACGCATCGATCTGGCGTGAAAAAGTGCAGCAGAAATGTGGGGTCTGTAGGGTTCCGGCCCAGGGACTGAGATCTGCGATGTCCTAAAAAAACAGGACGGGATATGTTTTCTCCGCTTTCGGCCTCGAGACCGCCAGCGGGAACGTTGTATAGAAATTCAGACATCGGATATCTGTCAGCGGGCGAAGACTTGTATAACATACTATGTTTCGCGGTCTGGGCGCCTGTCCCAGGGCGGCTGGAAAGTACATGCTCGTAACTGCCACCGTAAGGGCATAAGTTTCCCAGCCGCCCTGGGTCAGGCGCCCCGATAACGAAACAACCATATTATATCAGAGTGAGAAGGCCGAGCGGATATTCATTGTCCCTGGGCGCGTGGCTTACATTGGATTCCGCGGCCTGCGTTACGTGTGTTTGCTACTGTTGTTGCCGAGCCCTCTGTTCTAAAGAATTGCTGTTGTTGGTCCCCCTCTGGTGCCCATTGTGTTTTTTTCCCATGACGTACGCCTCCTAAGGTGTTGCTGGCCCCCGAACTACCAAAACAACGGTTCCCTCCTGATACTCCTTCACAATTTATTAAATATCCTGGCCTCGCGCGTGACTTCCTCACTATTATTGAAAGAGTCGCTCCCTCGCGTGGGACTTTGTCGCAACATATTCACACGCTGCACCCGACCTCTCAAGAGGTACGCGCTCGCTTTGGATTCCCTCACGGTTTATTCAAGAAATCGCGCTATCCCCTGAGACATCCCTGCGATTTGTGCAAGACTCACGTTTCCGCGACCCGCCTGCTCGACCTGGCCGCCTGAGCCCGCCTTCCCGATCCGCCCGTTGGGGTCCGCCCGCCCGACCCCGTTTGGTTTTGCCACGTGCGTTCTTCTTCTGGCCCCCCCTCGTGCTAATCTCTCTCGTGCTGCTCTTCCCTTGTTTGAGGGGCTGCGTTAAATACGCGGGGCACGTAATGTGTGTATATTTATATATATATATATATATATATATATATATATATATATATAGATATATACACATCCAAAGGGTATGATCGAAGACGAAGAGGGCGGGTACATATGGTTTGCGATGTACGTGTTGAATGGCATGGGAGCGGATAAGAGCGAACAGTCGTAAGATTATGGTTGTTGCTGGATGGTCAACTCTAACATCAAATTGATGAGAATCCCCCCCCCCGGTGCACCTGGCGCTTTTTAATTAAAGTGCTCCTCCCTGGGCTCGCAATCTGATTTTATATGGCTAAATCTGTTTGTCCCCAAGAGTGCCTGCTCAACAAGGCAAAGAATGAAGCCCGGCAGGGCAAACAATGAAAACGAATATCGCAGCCGGCGCTGCACGAAGCGTCGGCAGCCATCGCGCCAACACAGGACAAGTACAGACACACCGTTGTCGGCGCGACGCCGCGACCAACAGCAGCCGCGACCTTTGATCAGGGAAAGTTTTGCTCCTCAAACTGCGACCCTGGCCCCCGACTTACTGCAACAACGGTTCCCGCCTGATACTTGTTCTCAATGTATTTCAAAATCGCGCTCTCGCGCGGCACTTCCCCACCACATATCAGTGAATCGCGCTCTCGCGAGCTGCTTCCTCACAGTTTATTGCGGCGCCGTGCCCTCGACACTCAGGAATCACGCGCTCGGTTTGGATTTCCCCACGATCCAGATTTGGAATCGCGATTCATGCAATACTCACACGCTTCAGCAACCCGCCTGCTCGACCTGGCCGCCTGGGCCCGACTTCCCGATCCGCCCTTTGGGGTCCGCCCGCCCGACCCGTCCGTCTGGTTCTGCCACGTGGTTTCTTCTCCTAGCCACCCTCCTGCTATAATCTCTCTCGTGCTCCATTCTGTACTCTCCCCGTTCCATCCGTCTTCTCTTCCCCTGTTTGAGGGGCTGCGCTAAATACGCGTGGCAGGTAAGGAAGATATGCCCATAAAAGGGGGTATGACCGCAGACGATGCGGGCGGGCACAAAGGGTTTTAGGATATCCGTGCTGAATGGCACGCAGGCAGATAATAGCCAACAGTCTTAGAATGGTGATTGTTGTTGGATTCCCATTTCTCATGAACAACGGCCCACTTGGGTTGTTTCAGTTTAAACGCTACTCCCAGGTGTCGCACCCAATTTTCATGAGGGAAATGCTCAATCCTCAAACTGCGCCCCTGGCCCGCGACTCACAACAGCAACGGTTCCCAACCGATACACAGAATCGCGCTCTCACGCGGGAGCCCCCCCCCAATTATCCAGGAATCGCGCTCTCGCGAAGTACTTCATCACGATGTATTGCGGCGGCCCCCAACACACATGAATAACGCCCTTGCTGGTAGTTTGCCTATCGATTGACTTGGAGATCGCGCCATCGCCCGGAACATCCTTGCGATTCCTGTTGCACTGACCTTTCAGCGACCCGCCCGCTCGACCCGGCCGTCTGGGCCCGCCCGCCCGACATCTGCCCGTCAGGGTCCGCCCGCCCGACCCGTCCACATGGTTCTGCCGCTTCTACCCCTGCTCAGGTCCGTTCCTGCGAATATCTCTCGTGCTCCATCCTTTTCCATCCCCGTTGTCTCTTCCCTTATCCCTTCCTTCCCCTGTCTTAGTAGCCGCGCCAACTACACGAGACAAGTAAGGAAGATATCCCCCAATGGGTTCGGTACGGAGAATGCGGGTACCGCGGGTTTGGGATATACGTGTTGAAAATCACGCGAGCACCTTCTGGTGCACCTTGTGTGTGGTTCAATTAAAGTGTTCCTCGCGGCACTCGCGCCCTGTTTGATGATAAAGCAAAGTCGTGGTCCTCAAACTGGACTGGGGCCCTGATTTACAGCAATAACAGCAATAACAACAACTGCGCCCCCTGATACAATGTTCAAAGATGTATGTCAAGTTCGCGATCTCGCGCGGGACCTTCTCTGATGTTATGCAAGGGTCGCGCTTTCGCGCGGTATCTCCTCGCAAGGTGTTGCGACACCGTGCCCCCAAAACTCATGAATCACGCTCTCGCTCTGGATGTCCTTCCGATTTGCTTGGCAATCGTGGTATCGCCCGAAACATCCTTGCGATTCCTGTTCGATCCGCCCGCCCGACCAGGCCGTCTGGGCCCGCCCGCCCGACCTCTGCCCGTTAGGGTCCGCCCGCCCGACCCGCCCGTCCGGTTACGCAGGTTGTTGCTCCGAGCCCTGTTCCTGCAAATCTCTGTCGTGCTCCGTCCTTTTTCATCCACCCTGTCTCTTCCCTTCTCCCTTCTTCCGTTCATGTGCGGAGTTGCGTCAACTACGCGCGGCAGGAAAACATGTATAAAAACATGTTTATATATATATATATATATGTATATATTTATATATACACGCACAAGGGGGACAATATCGAATACGAAGAGGGCGGGTATCGAGGGTTTGGGACATACGTGCCAAATGCCACGCGAGCATATAGCAACGAGTCAAATTGGTATTGCCGTTGTTGTGGTGGTTGTTGATACTTTTGTTGTCGGAGTTCAACTCTCACTTCGAAAAAAAATGGTTGACCCTCCTGCCCGATAACCGTTGCACGTTTCGATTAAAGTGCTTCTCCCGGGACTCGCACATTGTTTTTTT